GGCCTGTACGGTTGGGCAGCACTGTCCCTGACATGCACCCTGCACTTATGGGAAGCCCACCATTCCGCCTCTGACACCGCAAAGACTGGCCGCATGATTTCGCTCTTCACAAAATGCCTGGCATACTGCACGACCTCTGCATGTCCAAGGGGTTTTCGTTTCTTACATAAGCCACACCACACCATGCAAGAAACGGAAACCAGCCTGCTTGGTGTTACCTAAGAAATCCAACTAGTTTTCCTGATCCTGCTATAAAGAAAAGAATCAATGGCTCTATCAGCTGTCACAAAGTGCGGAGTGTCCTAATCCGGGTCTCGTAGTACTGCAAGTGGGACATGGCCTGGTAGTACTGCAAGTGGGGCATGGCCCCAAGTGTCCAGTACTACTGCAAGCTGGACATGGCCCCAGGTATTGCCCTCCCTGCAGAGCTGGGCACCGGGTGCCCAGAGCCGCACCCGCCTGCACCCACCCGACCCACAGGGTGATGGGTCGAATTTAGGGTCTACATGAGCTGTCTTGGGTGGGTTATGGGCGGGCACAGCCAGCATGCCTTTCTGGGTGACGGGCGGGTGAAGATTCGACCTGGGTCACCCGCTGGGTGGGTGGCAAGCGGGTGATGTCTTGGCCTGGGTCACCCGACCCATAGACCCAGGATGACCCAAAAATTATGCACCCCCCCCCCCCTTCCCTTGTGTAGTACGCCGGGCTTGAGGTTGAGAGCCAAAGAAAAAAGTGCCTGGATTCAGTTGCCCAGGTCCTGATAAAGTAACGTGGAGTGCTCCAGCAGTGCAGGTGCCCCTGGACAGAAAAAAAAATATTGAGATACTTTCCTTAGAGATGTTCGAGTCTCATTGTTGATGTTGCCGTTGTTTTAATAATAGGATTTCAGATGTCTTTGTTGCAATGCTATGTTGCCGATGAMRTTGKGATGGTGTAAGGGACTGGCATGGGCAGGTGCGGGCTGATGCGGGTGGGTGCGGGTGAAGAAAATTTAGGTATTGGACGCGGGCGGGTGATGATACTCTTACGGGTGCGGGCGGGTGTGGGTGAGGGCTTTTTTTGGGTCACGGGCGGATCAGGCGTGGAGCTGAAATTTCAAAAAATATTTTGGGTGGGTGGGGTCGTCTAAAAGTGAAAAATAAAATTCTTGGGCGGGGTGGATGGGGAAGAAAAAAAATTGGGCGGGTTGGGTCGAGGGTGAGGAAAAAAAAAAATTGCCCACCTCTGCCTCCCTGCCACACCACTGCCAGTGGTCTCCATAATATCACACTCAACTCTTTTGATCTGAAAATATCACACTCACCACTTTTGATCTGCTCTTATCACCTTACCTAGTAGGTTTTTTTTAATAGGCCTTTTTCAACCAAAAAAAAAAAGAAGAAAAAAGATTTGAGAACCAGTAGGAGCCTGCGTTGCGAGGACGGGTTCCCCACCAAGGAGCCTGGGTTGCCAAGACGGGTTCCCCACCACACACCCTTGGGCCTCTATGTGTGTAAGGATCAGAATAGGTACACCTCAACTCAAGTTTGGCCCTGTACCAACTTCAATCCCGCCGAAGGCTGAACTTCGAAGCGAAGTGTATGCTCGAAAACGAACCAACCAATCCTTCCCTTATGCAAGTGAAAACAGAGGGAGGACAGGCCTTCAGGCCAGAGCTTCCCATCTAAAAGAGAAACGAGCAAAGGATTGGTAATTACTGACTGCAATTGCAGTCCCTTTTTTCAGGAGCTTCACGCTTAATTTTTTTTGGAAAGTTCCTTAGAGTCAGTATGGGACGCTGGACCCGGTTTCCAGCAACAGATTGATTATACTTGAGCAGTGGGTGGGTCTTCGAGCTTGGCTCGTAAGCGAAACTGGCTGAGGCTGCCAGGATAACTCCGGGTCGAATTGTGAGGTCCCCGGCCTCTTTTTACTGGCTTTGTAATAAAGATTGAATCTTTCCGAAAAAAAAAAAACAGAGGGAGGATGACGAATCTGACGTGCAGTTCAACCCACCAGTACACTTCCTAAAAGTCCTGCCAGTTAACAAACCACGATTTCAGGAAACGTACGGGCCACTACAGGAGCGACCAAATTCATCCGACTAGAAACGTTTCTACTCTATTTTTCTCCGCAGGCGATAGCTGGGCCAAGCACTGGTGGTTCAAGCCCACATACAGCACACGAAATTGGCAATCAGACCCAAGAGCCTAGCTCAATGGGTACATCCATGAACTGTTGAAATACAGACCTGTGTTCGAATCCAGATGATGGAACTTGACGAGTAAAACCAACTACTAATGAATTGCTTGTGGCCGGTCAGCTCAATGATAATATCTCAAGGTTGTCGACCTTTTCAAAAAATAGAATTAAAAAAAAAGAAAAAAGAAAAAAAAAAGAAATTGGCAATCAGCTTCAAAGCTGCGTCCGCCAAACTTCGAAAAACCTGCTTGCAAAAAAAAAAAAAAAAAAAATCCTGCTTCCCGAACAACAACAACAACAAATAGAGAGTAGGAAAAAAAAAAAAAAAAAAAACGAAGTAGACAGCCAAGTAGCGTCGCTTATCTACCCTGCAAAATAGATATCACGAAAAGCAACAAGTATCCAAACAAGAAGAAACGAACTACACCTAAATTCACTGCAACCAATCACGCCAAAAGATTGAATGCGTGAATGACCCAGCATCCCAACCCCTCCTCCCTTTCCTGCCGCTGAATCGAGCCTCTATGCTAATGGCTAATGGCAAATCACAGTCTGCAAAACCATCAAGGAACCACGGCCGGCCCATGTACACGAACACTGTCGTGGTAGTAGAGCCGTCTGAGTCTCTTATCGGTCATCAAGTCTATACCGAATCCATCCAATTAGCAAACGACTTCAGACGAGCTTGATTACCGATAAGATACTCGAAATAGTTGTGGAGTGCTTACCACCATGATAGGCGCATCAACCCCACTTTTCCGGTCAGATACCGACCCCTCACCAAAACAAGAAAAGCTATAGAGAGCTGCTCTCTCAGACAAGCACCTTCTGCATCCTGGAGATAGCGAATCTCCGCTTCCCTTTGTTTGACACGCTAATCCCTAGACTCCCAGGAAACCACCCACCCACCCACCCATCCATCAAAATGCTATGCTCGGACATGAACTTTGCCAGCAGCTCACTCAGTCTTCCACATCATGGATCGACACTCTCAAGGGTACGACAGTATGACTCCATAGTGCTATCATCAAAGAGATGACGTGGTGGGTTAAACATTTCCATTTTTTTCGAGTCAGAGTGGAGATCTCCCTATGTCGTAAATCCTCTCGTCGATCATCCACCATGACGAGGGAGAGCAATCTGCCAGCAATCCTCACACAGCGCACGGGCAGGACCTTGGGCAAATATTGTTGGTTGCTATGCAGCACCGATATTGGCCATTAGACACCCCTAATGTGGGGGGGG